AGAGTAGCTAGCTTGCTACGATGTTGTCTCCAGTGCAGGTTTAATAATGTGGGCTTGTGGTTTCTGTGATACATGATAAATGACTCTCTCCTTGTGTATGCTGTTCCCTATAAATAAAGCACTGAACAACATTTTATCCTCTCTCTGAAGCAAGGGTGAGCCTCTGACAGCCTATTACTGTACAGCATAACCATCTGCAACATTAGCTTTATAAGCCTGCTGGTCCAACACTAACAGATGCAGAGTGCTCCTAACAATATGCTCATAATGGCCGGAGGACGTCGTGTTTTGGCCATGTTTAAATGAAGTTCAGTTGGCTACATGGTCACAAGCGCTGCAGTGAGCAACTGTGGCCATGTCTCAGTGGATTGTAGGACTTAAATGTAAATGATACCAACTGTCTGGTCAGTTGTTCCATGAAACAGGAAATCCTTGCCAGCATGGTCTCGGCATGCCTACTCGTGTGTAAAAGGATGTGTGCACTAAAAAAATTTGTAGAAGGGGAGCGGTAAACGTATAAAAATAGCTCGCCAGTGGGTGTTTCTAAATTTCCCTCACTTTCTTGGTAGCTTTTAATGTTCCTTATTCTGCTTTGTTTACTCTCAGGAGTATGATTATGGCTGTAGCAGTTGTTATAACAGTATTATCATTTTTTTAGGCTGATAGCCATAATCATTTTTAGTTTTTGCCTCCTCGAATGCCGTGTGGTCTTGTGGGAATGCTTCCAGCATTAGAAGTGAGCATATGTCCCTGTTACTCCACACACTCTTTATTTTCCCATCCATCCTTCCTTTTTACTTTTAAACGATCTCCGTCTCTTAAGTTTGTTCATTAGATCTTCTTCAACCAGGTAGTTTAAAAAGAAAAAGTACTCACTGCTTTTTTATCTCTTCCTTTATTCAAGCAGAGACAAAAGATCTATAGCTACAGACATACATTAATAAATGCACCCATGCTGACATAAAAAGAGAAAGTGGGGGGGGAGAGAAGGAAGAGGGGTATGATTAGATTGAATGACAAAAAAGAACAGTGTTGTGACAGTGAGCAGCTGGTGTTTCCAAGTGTTGACAGGCGTTGTTTTTGGGTGTGCGCGTGTGTCTGTGTGCGTACATGTGTGCGCACGTGCTTGATGAAGACAGATTGTGCTGTGATTGTTCATTTCTGAACAGGACTCCGCTCATAGGGGTTATTGACGGCATCTGCGAGGGAAAAGACAAACATGACAAATGGCGCTCAACCAAATGTCTCTCTTCATTCTCCCTCTCGAGATAGTTTCGTGGCCTAAAGGCTTAAGAAGTCAGAATGATTGGTTTATTATCAAACTTTAAATGTGGCTTAAAGCTAGATGGAGTCCCAGTGTGTGGGAAGTTTAGATTTGTCAAATCAATATCTGTTAAACTGACTTTTGAGTGAGATTAATTGCTGGTAGTAGTTTTTACCTCAGTGCTCTTACTGTGTTGTGATACGTGTACCCTATTTGTGTGGTAGGTGTTGGTGTTTGCAGGGGGCTTGATAGTAACCCGTGTGCTTAAACGTGTAACAAGTAACCAAGCGTTCACCCCCACCTGTGTTCATTCAAACACATAGCAGGTCATGTGTTGATACCACAAATTACTGTTCTCCTGTGTGTTTGTACCACAGGTCGCGGTCTATTAGTGGAGCCTCCTCTGGTCTCTCCACCAGCCCGCTCAGCAGCCCACGGGTGAGTCGTAATCCTCAGTTCACATCCAAACACGCGCACACATAAAACACACACCTCTTGACCCAGTTCTTAAACAACTAGTTGTTAACCTTCTGGGATAATGGCCAACCAACTACTGCTGATCACATTTTATTGATGTCGTATTATGTCAGCAATAGAAAATAAAGCAATATTCTTTTTTCTGACCATGAAAGAAGCACACACACACACACACATACACAGAAAACAATATTTCTCTGCACAGCAATATTTTTCCACCAATCTGTTTTACCGTTATATAAACATTTATCAGCCTTGAAGGATCTACCTTTGTGTTTTGAGAAAGTATAGGTCCATTTTGATTACCTTTTCATATCCTGTATCATATCAGGGCTTCCTGTGTGTCCATATAGCTTAGATGTTTCTGTTAATGCCAAGTAAAACCCACTGCTGAATGCACACAGGAGGCATGACAGCACAGAAAACTTTCTCCACCCCACAAAGCCTCTTCTTCTCTCTCCATCCTCTGCACTTATTATCCTTCTCTCTGTTTTCTATGGCCTGAGCTCTTTGGAAATCCAGCTCAGGGAATGCTTCAGAAAATCCCACTTTCCTTTGCTCAAAGCTGGGGAGCTTGTAGTAAACTTTTCCAGCTGACTAACCTGAGAAGGCTCCAGATTAGCCAGGATCCTAAGACGAGCTCCTCACCACACAGGTTCTTGCAGGCTTATCTGAAAGGGAAATTGATTTCTCAAACCCACCCAAAGCCTGGATTGTGTTCTCAGCAAGAAGCTCTGTGTGGGGTTATTTTCTCAGACTTAGCTTCTGGAAGACAGGAATGTGTTGAAGGCAAATATTGAACCGGTGCGAGTGCAAATGAACCATGCAAAATCAGTACATCAATAAATAATCAGGAAGTTTGACTGCAGAGTTGCCACCTTCCACTTGTTTTTGAGACCAATTGGCCTTTTGTCTCTCTCGTGTGTTTGTGTTTGCTTGCTTGTCTCTGCTGGGAATGCCTTGTATGTTTTATGCAAATAAAGTCTCTTTTTTTGTGTTTTGTTTGGATTTTTTTAAAGTGTGCACATTGTTTGCTGGTATTGTTATTCCCATTTCATTTTTGTTTTGTTTTGCTTTGACATGAGTCACTGAATGGTCTTTATCATGTTTTCTTTCTCTCTTGTTTGTTGTTGCAATTCCTCCATCTTTCCTATGTGTGTGCACCTCCAAAATTCTTTGGCTACTTCTTCCTTTCCCTGTGTGGTGGTTTGCCCTTCCTTTCCTTTCCTTTGCTTTGTGTGTTCGTGTACTTGCATGCATTTGTTTTACACCTCTTCTTCCTCTTGGCTGTGTTATTCTTTTAATCTAGCCTGTCAGAAAGTTCGGTGTACCACCTCAGTCCCCAGACTTGTCCCAGTCCCCTAACACCAGTCCCTGTCCGTCCCCTGAGCCCGTTCCAAATCGCGCAGGCCAGCGTATCTCCACCCCCAATTCGCTCGCTCCAAACAGCGAGCCCCTGCCAGAAGCACTCAACAAGACACAGACGCTCCCTGCCAAGTCCAAAAGTGTCCCAAAGCCCCTCCAAGCCACACGATCAAACCCACTCCCTGAAACCACCCTTGATCCAGAACCTGCAGCCAAATCAGAATCCTCCACCCCCTGCCAGCTTCCATCACAGCCACCCTCTGCCTCTGTGCCTCCCACCCCCACTTCTCCATCTTCCCCATCCTCCCCGTTTTCCTCATCCTCCATCGCCAGTGCTACCATCTTAAACAGCCCCCAAGTACGACGAGCTCATTATGCTGCCAACCCCCAACTCTCTGTGCCCTTTAGCCCCGTGTTGCCCCTGTCACCAATCAGGCTGCACCATTTTCACCCTGTAGCACCAGCCCCTTCTCCATTTACTGACCACCCACCCAAATCTATCCCCCTCATACAGGTTACCCCTCACCCTTCCCCTCGAGGCAGCCCCCTCCCCACCCCAAAGGGCACCCCAGTGCACACTCCCAAGGACAGCCCAGCTGGGACACCTACTCCAACACCGCCCCCAAGCCCCTCTATTGGAGGCATGCCTTGGAGGACGCGCCTCAACTCCATCAAGAACAGCTTCCTGGGCTCACCACGTTTCCATCGCAGGAAACTCCAAGGTAGATTTCAGCCAATTTACATGAAAAATTGCTGATTAATGCTACAATCTTGGTTTTTCCCCAAAAGTTTTACTGTACATTGTACCGTAATATACTTTTTGACAGTTTTAAGTCTTTCTCAATCGTCTGGGATCTAACTCTGCTTCCACAGTTCCCACACAAGAGGAGATGTCCAGCCTCACACCAGAGTCTTCCCCAGAGTAAGCAGACGCTGTCCATTTTGAAAGCACCACTGCTATCATAACTATGCATAACCTCTCAGCCCCTTAGCCACTGGCTCAAACAGGCTCACTCTCGATAGGATGATGTTTTGGAAAGTGTAACATCTATGAATGTTTGATTTTCACCTGCTGAGCTGCCTTGTAATGACCTCCGGTCTGGTCTGAGTTAGAAAGAGGACAGTAGCAGGAGGTAGTGAGTGGGTTATGAGGGAGGGAGGACGAGCCTGCGTGATGCTTTTGAGTTCCCATGGGCCTGATAACTCAAGGTTGGCCTAGATATGCCTGTTTGGTTGGCTGGTTGCTGTCTGGGTTGGTCATTTCCACCTGGCTAGATAGGAATTTCCCAACTGAAAGAAGTTGGAAAATTGATAAGAGAGAGACCCTGTTTTAGCTCGGCCAGAAGTATACAGTCACGTGAGCTGCAGTCAGGCTCTTACTGCAGAACAGTGCATCTCTTTAGGCTAATCTACATTTGTTTCCATATTTTACTAGGTATTTATATTGATTTAAATGTAATGCTAAATATTATAAATCTTATATCTAATATTAATGGCAGAAAACAGGAGTCCATATGGCTTACTAGTGGTTGGAAGTGCACCTGGGCTGAGGCCAATAGTAAATTCATCTACCTCTGCTCCTTCTGTTCACAGAGACACTCAGTTATCTCACCCCACCCCCCTCAAATCCATTCATACACAATGCACTGGAATATCCTCTGTTTGCTTCTTTGAATCCCTACAGATCTGTGGGGAGGTGGTTGTTTCTCAGAATCAATAGACTGATAGGGAACTAAAACAAGGTTGCAAAAATGGTCAGCTGTATAAAGATGTATGTGTACAACATTGGGCTTATATTCTGCTAAATGACTTTGTCTTTTCTTTCCTCGCAGACTTGCCAAAAAATCCTGGTTTGGTAACTTCATCAACCTGGAAAAAGAGGAGCAGATCTTCATCGTCATCAAAGACAAACCTCTCAGCTCAATCAAGGCAGACATCGTTCAAGCCTTTCTCTCGGTAGACACACCACGCTTTTGCTAATTTCTTCCTTCGTCCCTTCTGCTGAACCCCTGACCCTTTTCCCATCTGCTGCGTGCCCCACCTCTCTCTGACACTGTATCTGTTTGTGCACGAATGCAGCCGTATCACCTGGGTATTTGCTCTCTAATGCGGGATGTTGGCTCTGCTACGAGGCAGGCACGCTCTGAGTGTTTGCTAACATGGTGCTGATTTATGTAGCAATCCAGTAAACTGCTTGTATTCACCGCTTCTATTTTCTCTTTGACTGTGGACCCACTTGAGGTCAATAGAAAATCAACACTGAGCTTTGGTCATTAGCATATAGATGCCCTCAATACAGTGCTCTGAGCACGTGTGTTTGTATATTTAGATGTGCAGGGTGAGAAAAAGCGTAGATTGCGTGTCTGTGTTGTGTTTTATGATTGCGTGGTTCTACAAATACATGCAGAAATCAGCACCAAGAAACAGTAAGCAGTGGTCGTTGATATTCAGAGTACATAATTGAACAGAACCCATCCTCACCCCAGTTAGATTTAACAAAGTCTAAGTGTACAAACTCTGCCGGTGTGGGTCAATGTCAAATCTGTTTCCTCATCCCTGGAGGAAACATTTTCCTTTGGGTTATGCTAGCTGGTATTCCAGACAGGAGATTGGCACCTGCATCAGTGGAATTATACCTCTCAGCACTCTGGCATTAATGGAATGTCAAACCCTCTCTAGCACTATGGCAAAACGTGACAATTTCAGGGCTCACCTGTTCATTGGGCATACAAATTCATTTTAGGCGGGAGAGTGCAATGTTGTTGGATGACTCAAGATTACATTAGCTTAAGTCTCTCTGGCATGCATGGCTACTCCCCGAGGCATTAATCTCCTTAGAGTTTCAAATGTGGCTCGTACTATGTGGAGGGTATTTTAATGAGGGTTTATTCACCTTGTCATTTGCAAGGTGTGGGAGAAAAATTTAACATCAGTGCTTCCTATGCATAATCCCATTACTCGTGTCTTTGTGCTACCTATTTTTATTCCTGTTTTTTTTTTTTTCTCCCTCTTTCTGACATTTTCTTTTCATGATTCCTTTTTTTGCCCCCACAGATTCCCAGCCTGAGCCACAGTGTCATCTCTCAGACCTCTTTTCGAGCAGAGTACAAGTCAACAGCCGGCCCCACAGTCTTCCAGAAGCCGGTGAAATTTCAGGTGGATATCACCTACACAGAGAGCACAGCTGCCACTAAGGAGAATGGCATCTACTCTGTAACCTTCACCCTGCTCTCAGGTTAGGATTCTTCAGCAATCATCAAAACATCTCAACATTTTCACCTGCTTCTACGCTTTTTTTTAGAAAGGCTGTCCCTGTTCAGGAAATTACAGTCGTGGCCTTTAGAATCAAAAGCAGAATGTTCACCAGCGCTATATTTGGTGGTACGGCTCTGGTATCCACACTTCTGTGAGGATACGTGGAAAAGCAGAAGCAGGAAAAGCATCCGTGACAACAGATATGATGCTGATTAAGTCGGGTACCGGATTAAAAATGAGAAGATCTTGAGTGGGGTTGCAGATGTGTATCAACTGTAGGCAGGCTAAAGCAACTTAAATAATCAGCCTTGTTTGAGATTTGCAAGCAAAATACACGAATGACTGTCATGTGAACAATCAGCCGACGGTGGGCTGGAACTGATACGAGCTGACCTGTCAGAATTGCAGAC